GCTAAATAACAAAAAAGAGCTTTTGATTTCTGTGAATGTAAACATGAAACTTCATCGGGAAAAATCACCCATCGAAGGGAAAATGAAGGGGACGAACATGGCTTGATTAGTGGTTTATGGTTGGCTAGTTATGTTATGTTAAATAGTGGTACGTTGTAAATCTTAATTTGGGCAATTAGTTTAGTGCAATAAGTTGGTAGATTTTGGTTGCCCTGGAAGTCTTAATTCATACCTTGTCTCTTGCTAGCATATTGGATATTTGTTAAATGTTTGGTTTGTTATTTTTTGTATAATAACTACAGGTTGTTAATGTCGTAAATGGTTTCCAGCCGAAAGCAAGAACACCACCTATATTTGTCTGGCTTATTCGAATAACAGGCAAAACCAGTTCACTAAGAAACTAAATAAAAAAACTGATATTCAATCTGTAAATGCTTTCCAGTCACAGGTTCACTTAGGAATCATAAAAACTGATAAGCAATCATCCAATTTCCAGCAACTGATTTTAGAATTATAAAACAACACAAGTTTAAAATGGTTCTATCTTATTCCATCACACTGCTCAGGACATGATTTTCCACAAAACAAAACATGATACATAATATTTCAAATTAAGGAACAGTGATAAGCAATAATCACTTTTTCAATCAATACACCATACAATTCCACTTAATCAAGTCTCATAACCAACTAAATTTGTGCTCGCACTAAACATTTTTACATCAAAGCTCCCTTAGGAGATATTTCGAACTTCAACAACTGCGGAGTTAAATCTTTTATGCAATGGTATTCCAGCTATATTATTCACTTCGAGCTTCCATTTCATGTGTTAACTCAATTTTTGGTTGCATCCATACAATATGGACTTAGTAGGGCTTGTCTTATGATTGTGGTCAGGGTAAACGGTGCCAATTTTCCAGTAACCATGGATATCTTGTATTACCACTTCTTCTTTCCTTCCGACTACAGGTTAACGTGAAAATCTCAAAACAACATCATCATCACTCATCGAACTCTTCTTTCTAACTCAAAAACCTATAGCATAAGCATAGCTTGCGTAAAAATCATACACTTCCTTTTCTTCCTTGAACTGCACACCAATCTTAGACGCAGTCAATCCAACTCCACTTACCGTTTCATCTTCCAGGGCAATCACTTTATCGTCAACATTCTCATTTTTTTGAATCGACGAACAAAACATCTTCCATATTTGGTGATCCTGCAAAACATAAAACACCCACTTAATATTTATGTGTTCGAAATGCCCAATCTTAAATCAAAATCCAGCTGAGTTCTGTGAATATGTATTCCAATCTTCCTTACACATCATCATCGAATACATTTAGATAGAAATCCATTTTTTTTTTCCTTTTTTTGGGTTAATTAAATGTAACAAATGAATGAACTAAATACAAAGGAGATCTTACAATTAATCAAAATTGATCATTTACGATTTCCAAAAATAATAAACCAAATTCTTCGAATAAAGTAAGTAGATATAGGTCATTGTACTGATGAACTAAACTTTCAGCTTAAATTAAACAAAAAAATTTCAACCAAAAAATTATACCATCCTATGTAATGATCCGGTTATGGTTTTGGAGATGGAGAATATAGGTTGGAGTGGAGAAGATGGACTGGGGGAGTGAGACCTTCAATGCCGGGATCGTGGCTGGGATCGCAAAAAGGGCTCCGTTGCGAATCTGTTGAGGCAAATGATTGTGTTTTGGCACCCTAATTCTAAGTTTCCACCTCTATTTTGTTTTAATTTTACTTCAAAATGGTTATGAATTGTTTTAAAATCTTAGCCATCAAATGCCTTATATTTTCAACCGTACACGTCACTTTGTCAAATATGTATGTAACCCAACCTGGTACAAATAGTATTTGTTTCGCGCGGGTTAACTCGCTAACAATTAAAGGGGATCAGACGATTGTGTAAGGGACGAAACCTCTTGAGACAAAGTCCCAAAAAGGGGTGTTCTTTTATTGGCGATGAACTTTACAATTGGAAACGAAAAATAACGTGCCTCCAAGGGGCGCAAGCACACGAGTTACAGAAAGGAAAGTATTTAAGTCTAAAAGCTAAAGAAATGAAAATTACATATTCTCTTGTTCGAGAGTTTTTGGATTCGGTCCTTTGCTTCTACGCATTTTCTCCCTTTTATACCTCATAGACGATCTCTTTGTGATTAACTACTCTGAAAACTGCTTGATCGTCCTATAACTACCCACTTTCTTTGTAGTGGCCACTTTGTCATGAAACCGCCTTTTAACTGCTGCCATTATCTTTCATCGTCCAACTGCTTTCGATTGACTTTCTTGAGTTGTGGAACGTGATAAGGCTACTTTAACAACTGCCTTGATAACTGTATTCCTTGATAATCACGATGCGTTATGTTTATTGACACCTTGAGCGACTTGAAGGTTTGGGCGAGAGTAGAACAACAGCTCTGGGCGACCGTATGACACTCGTTCGTTCAGATTCTGAGCGACTTG